TTCTTCTGTGGGTGCAAATTTGTTTTTGAATGAGAAGAAAACCCAGGAATACTGCTAATCATGGAAAAGGTCTTTCATTCTGCTTGTCTCGTAAAGTTGTGGTTTTACATCTTAGGATCATTCAACACATGTGTGGAGGATATGCAAAGTTCTTGGGCCCTCAGACAGCCTTGGAAAGATAGATTGTCATCATGTCTCTGGCAGGCCCAGATAGAGAAGTTAAAGATAACGTCAAAAGGCTGTTTGTCGTTCCAGTGTTCATTCCACTGTGGTCACTTGAGTCTCTCAAATATTTGCTTGCCATAAGTGTAGATAAGAGTATCTAACTTTTTAGAGTCTTTAAGTAGCCAGGATGATTTAGATAAGATGCACTAAGATTAAAGGAGCATAAATGGTTCTTTAGATGCTTTATGTACTCACAGATATAACTTGTGCTTAGTTGACTAGCATTGTAAATTGTTAATGATTGATGTATCCTACAGAAAAATGTATAAAAGAAGAATATTACCAATAAACCTGGCCTTAACTCCACACAGAGTTCTGGTCCCCATGCTCCTTCATTTTATATGTTTCGTCGGATACTCTCTTCAGGTTCCAGTCTCCCAGCGAGGAGACCCCAACGCACATGTAACACTCAGAAATATCAATTAAAATTTGAACATAATCATAAAAATGAGAAGGGAGCTAAAAGAGCAAGGTCAAGGATAATGATAATGAGACATCAGTGCTCTCTGAGTAAGGAGGAGACATGGGTTATTTCTTTCCATTCCTGATGCTTATAAATCACTTTTCAGATTATTGTTTTTTTCTGGACAATCAAAGAGCCGAACTGCTTCAGAAAACTAATGATAAAAATAAATAATTCAGCATGAATGGACTTAGAAAAAAGTGGTAGAATGGGAGGGAAGTGTTGTTAATTTTTTGTGAATCCAAAGAAGGGAAGTCATTAACATTTACACTTTACTGCAATATTTTGTTCACAGGAGGGACCCTAAATGCATATTATCAAAGTTGAAGCAGTGGTAACATGGAATAATGTTGTACTATTTAGTTTTTGCCTGGGAAAGAACTCACTGAATGCTGGGTTTCCTTGCTATTCAGATTCTTTAAATATAATGTGTGATCAGTCTGCAGTTATCCCATTGGCATTTATCTTTCAACAGTGGAATTCCATACCTTTTTTCTAGGGATACAACTAATTCCCTCAACCTAAAAATTACTGTCATGTTTACAAAGTTATAGTTACTATATCTTCTATCCTAGCTGCACTTTCATCCCCCTGCCTTCCTAAAATTTGTGATCAGATTATTCTTCTTATACAGCTTTTAGATTAATTCATATCTCACTCTAAGAACTTTATTGGATTGTCATTACTACTGGGTTAAACAGCTTTGTAGGGGGAGGGGTCCATAGACAAGAAAATATAATAGGGGTCTCCTTAGGGCTTCTAGTTTATCCTGAATGGAAGGAGTTCAAA